ACTCGAAATGGAAGTAAGCTCAACAATTATGAAACAAGAGATTCCTCGAAACCCAACTTTTCTTCGCAAACTTTGCATAGTCTGAATAAATGGTAGTTTGACATTGTTGTGCAAATGATACTCAGTTTTGGTTGTATCCGCCGATTGGTAGATGACCAATAATAATCATTGGTTGTCTTCCACGTAAGTGGGGCCAGCAACCTCTTCATCCGACATTGCCACACGCGAAATACAGGCCACCCCGAGCAAAGCCGAATCTTGACGATTTCCCAGTTAAAAGTTGATGCCCGCCCGAGGACAGCCTGAGGGCTGAATAGAAAAGAAAGAGATTTCGAAACGACATTTCTTGGCTGCCATATTTCGTGTCAGCTACAAATCCGACTGATTTTAGCACAAACATCTAAAGCCATAATTCAGCATAATTCACCTCAACTTTGCAACTCCAACAGCACACGCGGTCAGGCTCGTAGGCCGTGAAAAGACTGGGGCCTGGGGATGGATTAAAGGGTTACCAAAATGTAGAGCCAAAGATGCCCGGCTGGGTGGCAGAGGCAAAATGAAGAGGATAACAAAATGCTACTGCTGGCATAGTTCAAGCAGGTTGGGTACTCGTTCTGAGAATGCACAAGAGCATGTCCACTATTGAATGCTGATCTTAATTGACTTCAAGGCAGAATGCAATCTGGCTGATGATCACGAAGTATTCATAGATCTGTAAAGATATTTTATTATATATATATATATTTGTATATATATATATGCATATATGTATATGAAAAGCAATCACATCCTCTGCTTGCATGCGATTAGTAGGAGATGATTGACGACCGCAGGTACAAAGGGCGGCAAATTGATGCATGAGTGAAAAAAAGTTAATTGTGAAATAATTGGTCATGGAAGCATTAAATGAAAGTGACCAGAAAGAGATGAAAAATGAAAGAAACCCATCAGAAAAGGACCAGGCGAGGCTGGAGAAGGAGTCACGGCGACAGGGCAGAACATGTGAAGATTATCGCTTTAATCACAGAGTTTTGTCAAGACACGCTGCCTCCTGCTCGCTGATTTGCGCGGGCGGTGGACGCGGCCTGATGCCATCAGAGCGTCGAACAACTCTGTCTACCGGTTGCCATGTCCGTCGCATCACCTGCTCACGCCTGCCTTGACCGGTCGCCGGTCTCCTGACACCATGGCGACTGTGCACTCGAGGCATGCTCGCCTGCCACGAGCATCGGTATCATCATTTCGGGCTCATGGTGGCGCAGGTGTTGGGCATGTTCACCCTCACAACGGGGTCGTCGACCAGTCGGTCTGGTCGTCCGAAGAGTTCACGTCAAATGGGGAGGGTGAGGAGAGAAGGGAGCACAGGCAATGCCATTGTTGGGGTGTTGTGTTGTCGCTGTGTCGCGTGTTTGCGGATTCACGTGTCGGACGGGGTGGCGGAGGCGGAGGCGGAAGCGGGTGCGGTTGACAAGTTGAGGCTCGACTGTGCCGCCAAAGAGGTCGGTCTGCATGTGGGCGTCGAGATTGGAGAGGGGCCGATCTCGATCCTGCAGTTGTTGTTGGTGGCGGTGCTGCTGCTGCTGCTGGCGGTGACGGTGGCGGTGGCGGTGGTGGTGGGCGGATGGAGGCGGTTGTCTTCGCTTGCAAGGCCCTTTGGGCAATGCAGTCCAAATTCGGCCTCAGTCTCGGTCTCGGTCTCGGTCTCGGTCTCGGTCTCGGTCTCAGTCTCGGTCTCGGTCCCAGTCTCGTTATCGGTCTTCGTCTCGGCCTCGGAATGGACCGCTTCGGGCCCGGGCCCGAGGCCGAAGCTGGGGCTGGGGCTGGGGCTGGGGCTGGGGCTGGGGCCACTAGTGGCTTGGGCCCGGCTGAGGGCATCGCGAGGCAGGCAGTCGGCGTTGGAGGCGAGCAGGTTGAACCAGGAGGCCAACATGCCCACCGGCACCGGCATCCAGACGCACTGGCCGGCCTGATTGGCTGACGGGCAGTCGGAGCTGGTCGTGGCCCTGGCCGAGGGTAGTCTGGACGTGTCGGGTTGACCGGCGCCAGACACGTCGGTGAGCGACAGACAGACCGGGCCGAGGCCGGCTTTTTTTACGGCTTCCAGGCTGCTTGGCTGGCCGGCTGGCGACGGTGGTGACGGCTGCGCCAATGGCGGCGGTAGCACGAGGTTCGACTTGCCCGGCTCACGGTGCTCGGGGGAGGCCGCTGATTGGTCGATTCTGCCCTTCGGCTTTGGCGCACTCTTTGAGCTCGGG